TTCAGCGGGTTGTTCAGCGGGTTGTTCAGCGGGCTCTGCGACGGTTGCTTCGGCCGCAGGCCATCCAGGAGCAGACTCTTCAAATGACGGGTGAATAGGTTCGGATGGAATGTGAACAGCACGCCGCCCAGAATTAGACACTTTCTTACTTTTCTTCTTCCTCTTTTTGAGCGTTTTAATCGGCTCATTTCTCAAAGCTTCTACCCCTTCCGCCGAGTTCTGGATTTCATCGCTTGGTCCGGAAAGGGTATACGCAAGGTTGTCGCTGGTCAGAGCCTCACCTAGTTCTGCAAAAGGGGCATTTGGATTTTGTAGAACTATTATAACTTCGCCGTCTGGGTCGATAACGTGAGTCGCTCGGTCCATGATGGTTGTTCTTTGCGAGAAGTCAACACTGGAAACTATCTTGTTTGGCACGTAGTAGAATCATTAAAGTGGGGGGGTAAGGTAAGATAAATCTAAAGATAGTCCTGCTGATTATCCTGTGTTTTTACAAGTGAGATAGATGTGGCCGCCTTTGATTGGCATTGGTGATGACAGCCTCGCAGATACAATGTGGTCACTGATGCATTCATGCCCAACCAAATGCGGGTCGTGGTTAGCATTAATTGGCTTGATAATATGTGCTGTTACCAGTGCTCATAACAGTTACGCTGCATAAAGGAAGGTTGAACTGTGCTTAATGTGACTGCTAATACACACATGCGTAACATGAGGATGCCACAACCTCTATTTACGATTCACCTTACAAGCTGGTAGTCATCTGACTACCTTTGATTCTCTTCGACGAAACGACGAGCCACACCAACTATCATGCCCAGGTTGATAAAGAAGTTCGCGTCTTGATCCTTGTGTATTTGCTTGAGATATAGGCCCTCCCACCCGGGCTTTGAAAAAGCGATGAGCAGCCCTGACTCAGGTGAAGAAGATCAGTGATAGAATTGACAGGACAACAGTAAAAGAGACCGACTAGAAGCTCCTGCGGCCTGGCCACAAGTACATGCTCACTCCAGTTCAAGAAGTTGGAGAGTCCTATGAAAACACAGGAATGGCACGCCAAGCGGCGAGAACGGCAAGAAGAAAATGATTCCTTGATTGACAAACGACAACAAAGGTATCAAGAGCTCTTGCGGCCTAGCCACACGTACGTACCCAACCCAAGATCCAAACCTGGAGTCCTATAAGAACACAGGAAACGGCAGGACCAGCGGCCAGAACGGCAAAGAGCGAATAGTCGAGTCCCTATACGTGATGAGGATGATGGAGTTGATATCGCACAGAACGAAAGTGAAGTGAGATATCTCAGGGGAAGAAAGGAAGTGAGGAAATTAGTTGAGCGGTCGGCCTTGGGAGAGGATCGATACATAAGGACGGGAAAGGGGGCTGGGGCTTGGCATTGTTGACCGCGTCATTCCCTGATCACGTTATCTGACAGGCTACCTCATTCTACGAGCACAGACTCCCATTCTGATGAGACTCCTATTTACAGTACTCTTGTTTCCGCTCTCATTTTCGCTGCCCCCACCTTGAGGTCAATGCAAGACGGCTGGTCTCCACTGCAGTCATTGACGGCAGGATGCAAAAGCGGTTTTCTCGGTCGCACACGGGCGAGGCCTTACTAATAGGTTGCAGTAACTAGTTAATAACTAGTTAAGGTGAACATCCGTCTTCCCATCAACTACACGCTGTTGGTTAGACCACATTGTGACGGCCACGGTTTCCACAAAATTACTCCGCCTCGCCTTCAGACTTGGTGTTTCTTATCCTCGAGGCGTGGACAAGACATATGAGATATGAAAGAGTGAATATCTCGAGATTTGGTCTGAACCCGGCGGTAAGTAGCTGGAGCGCAGCTCTTTCTCTATGTACAGCAGTAGAAGGATGCAGCCATTGGCAGCAGTTCATCGTGAACTCTGAAACAATAAAGGAGATATCAAGAAAGCTTGCAATTTATCATTGACAGAGAATTTCGATCTCAAGGGAATTTTATAAAAACAATTTTTCCTCAAGCATGGAGTGAAAGTTGATGTTGCCCGCCGGTTTGTTGACAACATTCGGAAATGGATTGAACCACTTTAGCATTTTTTTTCCAAGAATAGTTGCGTACATAGAAGTGTTGTAAATAGCTGACACTGGGCTATTCTCAATCTATTGCATCTTCATAATCCTGTCGCGCTCTGTACTAAGCAGGCTGTTCAATGGCTCTCAAAAGCGGCAACATCGACATTCAGACGAGTCCCTATCTCCGTCTACTGATGTAGCACTGAAGGACCCACAACATCTGCAGATCACATTTTGCTCTCCCTGTATAGTTATGTGAGAGCCACGAGTATACTGTACCAGATGAAATTGTTCTTATACTTATTTCCAGTGCAGGATCTTATAAAGGAAACAATGGATTGTACATACGGTTTCTTGCACTCATACCCTGTGCATAGAAGAAATATTATAGACGCAGATTTGTCGAGCCATCATACTGGGCCATACTCATTGATACCTTACTTTGGAGGAAAAGGAGACTTGTAATAGCATTATCAGAGTACTCAATTCCTCTGTCATATACTGTACATATAGAAATGACGTTCCTTCTTTATTGTTTGTTTCCTCCCTTCTTTGGATCTTATAATATCTCGATGGCGGCCCCGCTTTTTCCATAGGTGCCTGACAAATACCAGCATTCAATCAGAGCCGTCTTGTAGTTATGTGCGATAGGTATGTGGCAACCTTTCGCAAATCTTGGTGAGCATGGATGGAAATATTAATCTTGCCTATCCGCTTGTTCAATGACAAGTATGTATGCGCGCTTAGCACTCGCCCAATTGTCCGCACATCAGGCCAGCACATATCCCACGTTATCAAAGCACCCAAGAACGCCATCCGAATTAGTTACCACGTCGTCTGTCACATTAGCAGGCAAACGCTTGTAAATTCAGACCACTTAACTCACCCAGGTTGACCAGCTGCTGAAATCCGTTACCACCACATGCAACTCTCATTCGCTGTCCTTTGCGGCCGTCCAAGCGACCACGGCATGTCTCAAACGCAAGCCCCCTACGCCATCTGATATAAACCCAGGCCAGTAATCGACACATCATGGGGTAACTTACATGTTCTGCTCAACCATCATACCTCCATTGTTCTCGTAGCAATAATTTAAGGATAATTCACTTGACTAATTCACTTGACTTCCATGTTTCACTGCTACTTGAGTAGCAATTGGCTGACAATAACCCGTACTGAGTTAGCTTCACCTGCTTATATGTCGCTGAATAACCACCACACAGCGCCAACGCCGCGTTTATACCCAGAAGGATTGCAATACTCGATCACATTATAACCTTGATTAATCAAGTACACTGACTCACTTTGATCAAAAGCACATGGGTAGTCCTAAGCATGTACTTATGAATTACGTTCATCTTATCATGTCTAATCTTCGTTTGTGTGCCATATCAGAATCTATGACACCGTAGCAATATCTTCGGCATATGGCAGCCCCCAATTGTTTGAGGAGCTCAGTCAAGCTCAGCCAGAGCTATTCCAGCAGCTATATGTCTCCACCTTCCCTTTTGGCACTATTAGTCATCATCCCTTCAGCGCCTGGCTCCCCTTTTGATCTGAATCCATGACACCCTTTCTTTTATTGGGGCATGACCTTTCACCGGGTACGGTTTACGGCCCCACACCCGGAACTGAACGTACTTGGCGGGTAGTTGTCACGGGTTGTACTCCCGGGCGCACTTGGTGATTATTTGTGTGGCCTGTCATTCAAGCATATGAAAATTTTATAGATGGGCTACAATAATATCAGCTATAAGGCTATCAGGCGGTTTGAGATATCTTCCCTAGCTAACGTAAATCAAGTTGATTCCACCCGTTTCGCGCAGTATCTTGTGCGAATCCAACCGCCTCTACGGCTTCTACAAGCCTCAACACAGATGGCACTCTTTGCAGGGCATGTGCCTGGACTAATACACGGACCCGGAGGTATCGCATGTGATGGGCTTAGGGTATACTAGTTCCTGCAAATTTAATATGTACCAGGGGGGTCAACCATCTATTGATCTCATTCTGCAACCGATGTTCCTCAGTTCCAAGCCCTTTTTCCCTTCAACAGCAACTTCATTCCGATTAGCCTGGACTTCGATTTCCCTCCTCTACCCGGAAACAAGGACCGTATAGCCGAAGGCTTGATTGGGACATGGAAGTGGCGGCGGGTTCACTTGGAAAAAGCTGGGAAAGCTGGAATACTGTAACCGGAAAACTGGGTGATGGTGTATTATTCCCTTGTCTGGAGAAGATGGTATTCTGGATATGGTCCAAGGAAGCGGTAATTCGGATCGAGGGCCGTTCTGTTCCTTGAAAAGGATGGTATGGGTTGCCTAATGAACCTAGCTGAAAACGGCGCCCGCCCGCATATTGTACGTAAATTTATATTTAGCCGAAAACGATCACCGCCCGGATATATGAAGGCTAGATAGATACAGAATTTCCAAAAATTGGCTTTGCCACCTTCCCTTTCCTTCTTTCCCAACACTAGCCAGAGCTATCCACTCAAGATTTAAGGAGGTACAGATCCTTGCAACTGCGGGGCATTCGTGTTCTGGCACAAAGGTTTGGGAATGACTCAGAGAGACTGGGTGGTAACTATAACATGACCAACACTAGCTACTCCAGCGTGTCCGGCACAACCGGCTTTTGGTAACTCCAGGAGACACATACAAAATCAATAAGCGCGCTAAATTTTAAGACATAATGCCCACTCTAAGGGATAAGTCGTCCAAATCAGCATAGCAGGGTTGATAATTTGCTCCGTTCCCTCCACTTTCAAATGATGTGTGTCGAGCATTGCCGTGCTGGGCAGTTAGTCTTTCCGGGCGGACATGACCAATGAGAATTGACCCGCCAGCAGCATTCCATCCCGAACAAGAAAACCTATTTCCAATCCAACTCTACAGAAAATGGGGTTGTCGGGATCTCGACCAAATTGACCAGACTGCAAAAAGTGTGGACATACTGATCGCATCTCACGCAATAGATCCTGATCACCTTTCAGAATGATAGACGACATAGCCGCTGTTCGGCATGTCTCAGTTGGGCCACCGAAGACGCCCAAAATAACCTTGTTGCCTAATTCGGCTGCTTACAAATGGCCATCTCATTTCTTGTGTGGGTGGGTTCACTGGCACATCGCTCTAACCACTCCCGGACATACTGGTACACATTCATTCTGTTCTAATTCCAGACCCTACTCCGTCCACATCTTCGCCTGTAATTAATACGTCTCTAGGTCGCAGGGGTCCCTCGGTGGCAGTAGATCATCATGTTCTACCAGCTGAGATCTAAAAGAATTCCACTATTGATCCAGGACAGGCAAGCTATCTGTAGCGTCAGTGGTCAAGTTAGAAAGACCCCGGATTCATGCTTGCCCTTGATAAGAACCGGGGCCTGCCATCGCGGTCCATCCTAATCCCAACTTGCGCTCGCTTACCACCTCAGTTTCCGGTTACTGGCATTGGAATGATCGTCCTGCCATTCGAGGAAGGCTCTACGCTCAGCCTTGTGTAAGCATGCCAGAATTATCTGCAGCCACAACTAAACCCAATGGGATTGGGACCGAGGCGTCCATTTTTCTCCAAATCACATCGGGAGTTCCGATATCTGAACCACCACAGCCATATCTCTAGTCTTGATTCATGCCTGTTACCGGTTGTGAGGATCTTCGGCAGCACCTTCCGTGCATCTCCAATGGTCTTCCCCAAGCTTCTGCAAAATACGCTGTGGTAGGCATGCGAAGCCACCAGGAGCCATACAGTCTCATATTCCGACAGTCCCAGCGCTTCGATCAGCCTGTCTCTATGGTAACGGTTTCGGCGGAAATCCCCTATCGTGTGGTTTCACAGCCGGTGAGATGCTTTCCTACTGCGCGGCAGCTGGAAGACCAGGCGTACTGACTGGGAGTATGATGATCCTTGTAGTTAGTTGATGGAGACCATACGCTTGCGAACTCACTCACTCCAATGGATGGGACCGACGCGGACCAGACGAAGCCAGAGCCTATGTGCCAGAACAACAGACATCGACGGCTGAATTGCGCCGTAGCCATGACAAGGAACGATCAAGTCAAGCGCGCAACGTTGAGGCTCAATCTAGACCTGCCATGCCCGCTGAGCGAATTGGTCAACCGCACGCCGCACATCCCGGTTAGAGACATGTGCGCCTGGGTACACCGTCCCGTCGAGACGCCACCAGGAGGCATTGCAACGGCATGGCAGGATTTCACGCCCAATGAATTCACTCATGCTGTACAGGCTGGCGTATAGTGATCAGGCGAAGCATTGGCTTGCACAGAACGATCATCAGGCCATCTCCATCCTCACCGGACGGAGCTGGAAGATGCAAACCCCCCACATCCGTAAGCAGTACAAGACGCTCGCGGTGATAGAGAAACAAAAGCATGCTGGAGCGCACCCGGAATATCGGTTCTCGCCATCAAACAAGAAGAAACGATCGCGGACTGCAAGAGCCCGTTCTCAGAAATTGGTGTTGCGTTCGGAGGCGTTCCCCAAAGTCAGCCGAAGCTCTCAGCCTCACGCTGGGTCTACGTCGTTGAACAATGACCGCATCAGTGGACCCTCCACAGGACCATTCCTTGCAGATGAGGAGACCCTTACCCAAAGCATTCCATCGAATACAGGTGGTGTAGGATCATTGCCAAGTGCCGCCTCGGTGTGGTGGCAGGAGATAATTTACTCTCAGATGGCCTCTACTGAGCAAGTCTCCGCAGGCACCCAACCTTGTTTCCCTGTCGTCACGGGGCAACCGGGGATACCGAACTCTGCTTGCATTGTTCCCCAATCTGGATGCCCTGGGCTCGAAGCTGTCAACGGTCAGTCTGCTTTCCTGACACTGTCTGTTACGTGTGAGGATTGTAAGGTTGACGGGGAATTGCTTATGGAAGGGACGCAGCGGGTTGCGACTGCAGGCCAGTAAGTAGCATGTATGGTTTTTACGGCATGTTCATCACATATACGTTGGGTATTGGCGTCGATAGGCTCAGATGCGAGGATCTTATGCATAATTATTCTCGGTTCTTTCGTACAGTGCGTGTGTAACTCAGACGCCCGTGTTTGTGTAGTGAGCAATGACTTCCAGGAGACCACGTCCGCGCCGAAGGCCATAGGACCTCATACTCGTGCGGACGACTGTTCGCCGCGACCACGTAGGAAAGCGTAGCCCAGGGGTCGTAAGAGCAACAGGTCCCCCGGAGAAGGGCCCAAGCTCCCGGAAACTGTTTGTGTGCCCCGGGGAGCCAGCATGTTGCTCTTGAGAGCGACGCCGCTCCCCTGATTCCTGCTGCTCGTCACAGGAACGGGAAACCGTTTCCTGCCTTTTTGAGCATACGGAGGTCACCTTGGCTGCTACCGAGCAGACTGTACAGCAGACTGACTGGAGAAGGACATGATCTGCACTTCTATAATTCAAAATGACGGTGTATTGGCATGCCTAGCATTCTTCATGCGTGATTCTATCATACTATATCGCTACTGCGTGATTTGAGTCTGCCCCTCAGACCAGAGCATAATATAAATGATTGACAGGCCAACCATTACGGACACAAACATCCCGACTAGATTCTTTCGGGCGTGTGTTAATGTTCCCACCCATCATCACGCTTTTGGCATCTGTGTACCGACCAACCAAGCCATTTGGTCACCCATGGACGAGCAGCAGTCACTGCCTCCGCTGGAGGATTATTATACTCAGGTGTCAAGAGACGCATTACGGACCGACGAAAGCCTTGGCGGAGTTGCGACTGCAGCAGAAGGCTTCGTATCGGTTGTAGCTCCGGTCCGTGAGCAGCAAGAGGACGCCAGTGTCACTGAGCCTGTCGAGGAACACCGAAGGCCCAACGTGCCTACAAAGGTATGTTGACGTTTCGCTCTTCTCGGCCTGCAGCGCAACAACCACCGTCTGCTGGGTGAACATTAGCTGATAGACGGAAATAGCGCAGAGTGAAACGAGCTTGTGAGAGATGTTTTCGTCGGAAAATCAAGGTGCGCGAAGCCACAAGGAACTGGAACTCGTGATAAACTGTTGGCCGACAGCGCGTTTGACTAACGTAACGGGTTAATAGTGTTCTCAACCCTGGCCCTGCGAAGCGTGCCGGAGAAGCGGAAGAACTTGCGTTCCTCAATCGGTTCGACAGAGCTTGAACCATCGTACTAAGATCTCTACCGAAATACGAACAGAGAAGTTGTCAGTCCGCAGGGTTTATGCCGACCAGCCTCCTAGTGGCACCACAACAACGGATGTGGCTCACGTCAGCGAGTCCATGAAGGGACACCAATGGAGCGCGTCCAATATGCGCTGCGCTTCAGATATCACCATCCCAAGAGACAATGGTACTGAACGTGGCTCACCCACTACGTGCCCTGCAAACATTACTACTCGTGGGCAATGGAATGAGATTAGAGATGATAGGAACAGCACTATTCTATCCGGGATCGGCGACAATGCAGGCTGGGGACCCCCATCTAGCGCAATCGCACTCCCGGACTCGTATATGCCCGCAGACAACTCGACTGGGGATCCTACGGCAGATCCATGGTACTTGACGCCGTGGGCTATGGAACCATGCTCGTCGGAGACATTGCCCGCATCTTTCTGGGATTGGACCTGGCCTCAATCCGGGTGTCTAACCGGGTCCGAGACCAACGGTTTGTCACATCCGTCTATTCCTGCATCGCAGGCGGCAGGATGGCCCTTTGGAGGCGAGGCTGAACAGCCTCAGCAGCCGAGCACAAGCGGCGTTATGCCCTTCTGGGCATACCACTCACAAGAGCTGTACCCTCCAGGTCCCTCTTTTGATGCACCGGACCCTATACCCTCGTCCGATGCACTCGGGCTCTCTTCTATACTAGAAACCGCGCCACCGAGCTTTCCGAGATTCCATCACGTGCAGCATGTCGAGGAAGCCAGCTTGGCGCTCCCGACTGAGCCTCCAATGCTATTGCCTCCCTGGGATCCATTGGCGCGTCTTTCCGCAGCATTGCCCATGACGGACTTCCACCGCCACAGCTTGCATCAACAACCATCTGCGCCCGTCCCTGTTCGATATTGCCAGTCGCTAGTACCCCGATGGCTACAGACTATGATGAATTACCAGGAAGCTGAAGTGAGGCCATTCGATGATTTCGGTGCCAGCAGCCTGGATTTACCTCGTAATGTCACGGTGCCAGAAGACCAGGTCGAGTATTGTCACACGACCTAGCCCAAGATCTTATTGTAGAGTACTCTCTGTTACTGTTTTTGCCAATGAATAGAACAACAGTGATTGACCTGCAGTAGTCTGCTTCATGCTTGCCGCAAATGTAGGATTGTCCCTTCGCACATGACAGGTTTAATGGGGGCAGGCCCAAAGTGTATGTTGCGCACACTTGGGTATACTGTACCTATTGCCGATCACTACTCTCGCTACGACAATGGTCAACAAAATGACTGGAGCAGCCCTTGGAATCTTCAGAAGGTGCAACCCTTGTGCAAGGACGTACTCAAAAAGACGTGCGAGTCTCTACACTTTATCCCCGCAGTTATATGCTGCAGGTGCCAGATTCGAGATGGTCCCGAATAAGCCTGTACGAAGCACGGAGAACATCAAGAATTTAAAGCAATATTGGCTCCCAGGCGGAAGATACGGCAGATACCTGGAGGAATGTCCTTGGTAAATCCAAGATGTAGCTTGATCAGCGGGAAAGGACTTCGAGTTTCTTTTCTGAAGCCCGCAAAATGTAATGGCTTACATCGATAAGCTTTATGGATGATGCAGGCTCAATCCCCACCATTTCGAGAGGATTCCCGAGACACTGCTGTTATTCAGTCTCACTGCACCGCAATTCATTGTATGCCTCAGAAATCATAAGGGTATACCTGTTTGTCACTTACATCTACTTTATGTGGCATCTTACGCTAAAGCAGCTAGTAGATAAGATATAAATCCTCTGTGTCCGGACTGTGATGTCTATCATCTATCCATCCACCAAACTTCGTTGGCTGTAGCAAACATGGCCAACACACGTTCAGGAAAGGATACTTCAAAGCCCACTGGTGTCGACAAAAACACCAATGCTCGAAAGACCCGTGAAAAGGATGAAATTGCCGCCCAGAAAAGGAAAATTGAAGACAAGCGAAAACAGCGCCAGCAGGAGCTCGAGTCACTCCGGAAGGACTTGCTAGCCGCGGACAGCCAATTGAATGGCTCGCAGCTTACCAAGGATGAGAGGGCTGAGCTGGAGAACAGGCACAACAACATTCAAGAAGCCATCCAATCTACGGAAGCGGACATCGAGAAAGATGGCGAAGATTTGATGGACATTGATACGGAGGAACATGCCGCATCAGGTTCTACTGGTCAGGCCCCTGAGAATGGGGCGTCATCGATACCACCACAACCTGTGCCGCAGAGTACATGGTTTCCACGTGCAGAGGAGGCGCCGGTGGAGCAGAAACCAACCAACGCTTCTAATGAGCAGGGAGAGGGACATTATAAAAAAACAGCATTTCCTGATCCCGATACCGCAATTGCATCCGTCGAGGAACCAGATTCGGCCGGAAGCTCGAATCCGAACGAAGATAACGATGGTGAATTGCTAGTCCGATTAGATACATTATCAAAAGATGGCCATTCGAACGGGGTGGCAGATGCGTGGTTCATGATGCTCGCAGCTGAGAACCTAATTGTTCGATACGGGCCAAAGCAAGCGTGCAAGTATGTCATCCAATCCGGCACAGGACACAATTTCGATGGTCTTCAGCAAGTGTCCGATTCGAAGTCGCGGCTTTGCTCCATCATGGACAGAGACAAACGGGGTAAAACGCGCCGTCGCTATGGCCCCGAGAATATCGAAGGGATTGTTGGTGTAGCCATTCTGGAGAGGCCCCCTAATACGAAAAGCTCTAAGGCGCCAACGACCTATGTGAAGCTCAAGTGGACTAACATCAAGGAGGAAGACAAACACTTATGCCGAGATGGGACCAATTGGATTACACGAACAAATCTCATCAAATTAACCAATGAGGAACTGGCTACGTCAAAAATCACGGAGGCCTGGGAGAAACAGGAGACACGTTACAATAACTGGGAGCAAGGGCTACCTATTGGAACTCCAAGCCGGTCGCCCACGCCGTGCCCACTGGACGTGTGGCAACGAGCAAAGCCGGAAAGAAGCCATGTCCCAAGAGGTCAATCTAGTATCACGGCGAAGCGAGAGGCGACAGCCAGCCCCGCTCCGAATACCATCAATGCAGAGTCCAATGATAATTCAGAACCGCAACCCGGAAATCCTGTTCGCCCAATTCCTGTAGAAGGGGCAACTGCCGCCGCAACCGACTCAACTACTCCATCCGATAAGCCTGCGTCACAAATAACCTTTAGCCGGAAGGACTACGTGGAAAGGATGATCAACAGTATGGCCTTGGATAAGACAGATATGCAAGCATACGTGAGAGCACTAACCTTGATTGAAGCCGATTATGCGGTCTATAAGGGCCATTTGTTGGCAAACGGAGGTGTGGAGGTGTACTAAGTGGCTGGCATTGACCGGGTTAACATCGCTGGCGATGTGCCCTATGAGATTGGCCGGACGGTCTGTTTGGTATCAGGCTTTCTGTTTGTAAAATTGCCGGCTGAGAAGAATGAGAAGAAGATAAGATGCATGTGTTCTTCTGCTTTAGATGATAGTTTAGTGGATCATGAGCAATTTGAAATCAAGACGTTTACAGTACTGCAGTGGAAGGATAGCCTCGTCATATTAGTTACTGCGGCATGAGCTTTTCCGGAGTGTGCTTAGCAATTGTACCAGGCAATCAGTCAGTATTCGATAGAACAATTCAGAATTGTTCTGCTCATCAGGTTTGTTTTTTTTTTTTTTTTTTTTTTTTTTTCATAAAGTTTAATGCTTCTTAATTTTTTTTTTTTTTTTTTTTTTTTTTTTTTTTTTTTTTTTTTTTTTTTTTTTTTCTAGAAATGAAATCTCATGTATAAGCATCGGGCTTGTTGGAAGGCTTTATGGCCCCTAGGAAGTTGAGAAACTGTGAAGGGGTGGGGCCTGCGGCAAGCCAGAGCTCCTAATTCTGTATCTCTAATCTGGATCCCGCGGAAGAATTCACTCGACACAAGCATCCTGCGTGCTCAGCTGGGTAGAACCGCGCCTTTGAACCCCTGTTAAAATATCTATTCCTGGACACATAACCGAACGGACTTGGAGGAGCCGTCAGTTGTTGTTACATACCTTAGCTGATTAACCATTTTGTATATGTGTTTGCGCCGGGGAGTGTCTGAAGATTTCCGTACAAGGGTCTGTAGAATTACTGGCTTGTTCCCACAACTGATACGAGTTCAAGCGGTGCTTCTGTATGTACTATAGAGCGACAAACGTAGCAGTCGAACACAACTCCATTCTCAGATAATTCAACCTTTGTCAGCATTATGTAGAGCTACGGTAGAACAATAAAATGACTTCCCATAAGCCACCATGGTAATAAGGACGTCAAAACCTGACCCTGCCTCTTAGAAGCAGAAGCTCGCTAAATACCCATTCATTGCTTTTATAGGTTGTCTTAGATGCACCTCACAGTTCTGATGCCGGGCATCAGATTGGAAGGGCTAATAGGACCCAGCGTTTCTCGGATTTGACCTCGTGGTTACACGGGCAAATACACGTGCCCGCCATATACTTCACCGTCTCACCATCTCCAACTACAACAGGAGGGCCGCAGAGCCGACCACCAATAATGAAAGTGTGTAGCATCTAGCTGTCCCGGTGGCCCAAGGCCGACGCCGTGAAAATGCTTATAGGCCAACATCTCCCATCTCCCATCTGCCAGACCCAACTTCCGCTCCCCCAGACACAATGCCTCCAGCCCTCTCAGACCTGTATGAACAGGCTACCCAAATCCAGTCCGTTGACTGGTACGGAATATGGATTGCTGCCTTGCTGGGCGTCTGGCTGATCACGCGGTCGGCGCACCGGCTGGGTCGGTGGACTGTCGAACGCCCGTTCGCGGCCTCCTTTGGACGGCGTCTCGGCCGCGAGTTGCCGTGGCTTCTCCAGGCTATTGACATCGCCACCGCTCTCGAGGCGATCTTGGTTGGGGTGCTCTTGGGCGCCAACATTGTCCTCCTACTCGTGTCGGCCCATGGCTGGGCCGACGTCCAGCAACGTGCGGCGAAGCTCGCCGTCCTGAACCTCTTGCCGCTCGGTATGGGCCTGACCTTTAGTCTCCCGGCCCATCTGCTCGGAATCAGCCCCTCTGCCGTTGCGTGGTCGCATCGCTGGGTTGGGCGGGTGATGGCCGCCCATTCCCTGCTTCATGGAGCCATTGCCATCGCCAGAGCGGAGAACCCGATCGCCTCGCTGAGGCATGACTGGGTGCCTTTACTGGTCAGTCCACCACGCTGCCCCTCGATGATGATGATGATGATGATGATGATAATTATCGTTGTGATCCGAGAGCATACCACTAACCAGGGCTAGGCAGCTGCCGCCGTTCTTCTCATGATCCCCGTGACCTTGCATGCGGTCGTCCGACAGCACTGTCAGGTCGCCATGAAAATCCACTACTCTCTGGCGGTCACGGCAATGGTGGCCCTGGCGTATCATACGTGGGACCAAGGGTCAGAATCCCGCTGGCAAGTGGTTGGTGCTGGGGCCCTATGGATCGTGCTGAGTGCCGTCGCCGTCTCCCATGCAGTTTTCGTTCAACAACGCTGGAGTGCTGGGCGCCCCGCCCTAACCATATGTCCCTTTCATGAGCTGCTTCGCATGGACATTACAGTGTCCCCCAATTAGCACATCCGGCCGGGGCAGTACGTATACCTCTGGTTGCCTCACGCAGGATTTCGCTCGTGCTTCCAACTCCAGCCCTTCTATGTCGCTTACTGGGATGATGCGCCCGGACCGCGCATCCTGTACGTTCTGACCCGACCACGAGCCTCCAGCCTCAGTACACGACTCTATCTCCGCGAATGGCTACACCAGCGTCGACAGCCTGCACTGTTGCTGGGGCCATACGGCCCATCGATCGACTTTTCTCCGTTTGGGACGATCGTGTTCATCGTAGAGGACACTGGCATTTTGCGAGTGCTTCCCTATATCCGCATGCTCGTCCAGGCGAGCGAGCAGCGGAGGGCAATGGTACGCAAGCTGAAAATCGTCTGGCAGATACAAGACTTTGGTAAGGCCGTCTCTCCATGCACTGTCCGAATCCGCAGAGATCCTAATGAATCCTAGACCACCAATGCTGGCTGGGCGATTGGATGCAGGACCTTTTGGACCTCGACCGCGGTGAATTCAAGGTAGGTGATAAACCCTCTGCAGCCATTAATAACGCTGCCCTGACTCCAATAGATTCTTGAATTTCGTCTGTATTACCTTACAAAGAGGACATCCGCTAACCCCGGTGATGGGTTCGGAGAACGAATTAAACTGTGTCAAGGGCCACTGATGGCCAGAGAAATCGCCCAAGGTCACCTGAGCAAGCGCCGTGGGAAGCTAGCTGTCGGTGGTAGGTTTACTTCCCACCCGATCGATTCATCCGTCAACCTACAACGGCTGTGTGATGAGAGCGCTTCTGACAGACCGTGTTGGACGTGCGCCCGATGACTAATCTTGGTCCACCCTAGTGTGCGCCCGTCAGTCCATTCGCCAACCGGTCCAGGATGTCGTCCAGCCTCGGACGGGGCCGGATATCAAACTCTTTGACCTCGACCTCGAGCCAGGTCATGTCCGGGAGGCGCCTTGTCGCAACAAGAACACCGCCACTGTTCCGGCCTCAAGTGATTCTCAGCAGTGGGTTGCCTCTCGCATACTTGAAGGTTATCGAGAATAAAGTGAGTTTCAGCATGCCTAGGACATAACGATTCTCTTTACGCGCAGCCGATCCCATGCGGCAGTGACATTCATCGCTGCTTCTCGTCTTCTCTCTACAGTCCGATTCCTACACGCTCAGCACAGACCGTCACGGATAAATTACCTCCTTCATTGGTTGGTGAACGGTCTAATTGATTGCGGGGCTCCTCCCCCTTTCCTCGGTAAGCCTTTGATGCTGGCACATCTGTTGTGCCGCCGCGAACAGATCCCCCAAGGATACCTTGTGGAGTCCTGCCAATGCTTACCATGACCGGTCGAAGAGCTACGACCGCTACAGTGCTTACATCGTGATCGCTTGACACTGCTCTGTTCTGGCAGGTTGTTGCGTATGACATTGCACGTGCAGTCTTCGGCTGTCATTGAGCAGCTTTGGAGCATGCGATGGCGACTGCGCAAGGGTACCCAACCGGAGCCGTGTCCGATCGCTGTCGGTGAATGCTACATGCTAGATCAGCTGGAGCCTGGCGAGCATATACAATTGCTTTCCCTGTGTTGGGTTGCCTCGAAGACTTCATGTATTCAATCCATATTGTCGCAACCACCAGTACCATCCGTTAGTTGAAGGTGCGGTCCGAAGACCGACGACACCAACGTCGGAGCAGCCCCTCCCCTATTTCGAGATTCGTCGCTTGGCGATTGTGCCTTTGATCGTCGAGCAGGATCAGAAGCTTGAGGTCTCTTGAACGTATGCGGTGCTGTCGACTAGTATTAGAGTTATCCTATCGGCAAAGTGGCCGACCTGGAACTTCACTGTGAGGGGTAGTCGAATATAACCACGGCTACTCCGCTTACGGCAATTTCCCAGCTGATTTTTCATACCCTTCATGTTGCCCAGTTGGTCTCCCGGGGCATCGGCATGATCTGACCAACATCCCACCATTCTTGGCCCGCAGTTTGACCCAGGGTCACGATAGACGGGGAGAAATCCGAAGTCCCTCTAAAGCGGACTAGTGTGACAGTTCCAAGCGATTTAAGGCGTACGCGCGCGCTACCGGCAATACTCCAGTACCGAGTCCATGGCCTTCTCATGCACAAATTTTCCATACAAGCACCATATTTGTACAACAGCGTATGTTGTGATACCGTGAAATCCCCAAGGCTGCAGCTGCTCATTGAGAGGGTCTTAGAGGTAGAAGATCCAGGAGAGACACCGTCCGTGAAAATGTCATCATGTTGTCCACAGACCAGAACCCTAAGAAAAGGCGAAGATACGCCTGATATGGGGATGCCCAACCTGCAGTGCAGCTATTAGACATTACCCTGCGAATGCGGGGTTCTGGCGGTTGAATGTTACTTGTCCTCTTCTTATGAGGTTTCCGGGTTCTCGACCTAGAATGGGCCTAGCATCCTATCTCCGCTTACGCATCCCGAGGTTATTTCTCGACACGTCTCTATCAAGCTATCGGCCCCCATTGATTGGTTGGTAATGCACCTTACGGTCGTCCATAAACACACGTTGGAATCAGCCACCGTCTCTGCATTCTTCCTTCCGCGCGTGAAGTGCGCCCTCGAAAGCTCGAACATTGTCGCAAGCAGCTCTGGGAAGTCATACGTCCATACATGCGCACCATTGACTTCGAATGTTTATGTGGCCAAGAGACGAGCGGAACCTCGATACTCTCGGCAGATTGCGAGTGTTTTCCGGGACAAACCTAATGGATGCTAGAAAATGGACTCAGAGCGTTTCGTTGAAAACATCTCGTGCAGCTTTTAGTATGAAGAGCATACTGGGTTCTTCTTTAGCATGCGTTCAGAGGTTAGAGGGCCGTATTTACAGTAATAGCTTGTGATGTTGTCTCTTGTTTCCTGCTCTATGATAATTATCTGTATCGTTGCCATGGACGTCACCCGTATTCTCACCATCCGATAACTCGAGTCAGGGAATCCAGCCTCAATTGTTCTGGTTTGCAGGAAGGCAAGATAACCCGACTGCACATAGTTTGACTAGTCCCTAGTTGGTCACCGTTGAGTGCCACAAGGATCGGCGAGGTTACACTCGGCCTTTGGTCTGCCCATGCCTAGGACCGTGGCCTCAATGTCACCTTCAACTTCGGGCTTGCATTGGGTGAACCGTTTCGGGCAGGGTTGGCGCGTGGTGTCATCTTGATTTTAAGTCAACGAGACAGCCAACCCTTATAAAGCGCCATGTGCGTCCTAGGCTGGGACCTCTCGCCTTCGCGGTATGCACATATCTCACAGAAATCCCATTCCTCCCGGCGTCACTCATATCCTCCGACAACAATGAAAGCTCACCTGCCACGACTGAACGAGCTCCGGAATCTACTGGCATCAGCTGAAAAGAAATCGCAATCCGGTACCCGGTCGAATGCCTCACACTTCACAGAATCAGCTCCGCCAGATGACAGGAAACCGAACTTTCAGGCCGCCTCGGGTGAGGGCATTTTAACCCAAGAAAACGGCGCAAGCGACAGAGATGCAATGTGGGAGGTCGACAGCGTGATCACAAACGAGCTTCCTGAGCATCCCAATAATGTGGATGATCTGAAGGCTCTCGCGTCGTTGATCCGCGAGTATGTCCCGTCATATGATGTCCCAAACCCGGCCGTCATTCACCCTTGAACGGTGCTGATCTGTATCTTCAAGTCTCGAAGCCAGAGTCCGGTAAGCTTATCTTCATTGCACTACCAAGTGACACTCTACGGGACCTCGAGCTGACGGAAAGCTATAGAAAGCTGGAGGAACAAGTGGAGGATCAAAACCAGGAAAATCACCGCCTGCACAGGAGAGTGAGCAGCATCTATGAGAGTGTCCCGACCTCTCACACCAAATCCCGTCGCTCAGCTCGGTACAAGGAGATGGAGTCGGAATGAACATCGTTTAGAACCACTGTCTTTAACCAAGCTTGTCCGGCCGGAATTAAGATCTGCTCGATTCTAGAGTATATAGCTATCTTCAATGAAGAGTGAATGTTTGTGCTGGCTGTAGTAGAGCGAGGGCAACCTGATCTGTCGATCCCAAGATAAAGGAATACGTTGTCTACTCCGGTAAACAAAAACTTCCACCCCGTAGCTGCATTTGATCGTCGGTGGCGTTGGGTGTTGAACGAATCAGCCGCACAGGTGATCATTTAAACTCCAGCGGTTCGGTGAAGTGGGTCTCCATCATGTCCGCCAGACAAAGACGCGAGGATGTGTCACGGACGTGTGTCGCGCCCCTCCCCCTGCTGGTACTATCCCCAGCGTTTGAGCCCACCGAAGCTCCACTGTGAGTTCAGTTAATGTGTCGAAGGTGATCGGCACAGCCTGGTGTGACGTCGGAGGCAGATCACGTTTGTCGCTGCCTCGCGACGCCCACGTTCGATGGCCAGGTCACTATGGCGACGACGTCGTAGGCATTTATATGTCCAAGCCTATTTTATGACATGGCGCCAAAGAGTGCATTGCGAGTGTTTTTCTTTGTCTTCCCCGATACCGCTAAACGTCGCAGTGATTAACGATGTGGACTCCCCCTGGGGATAGCTGACTCAGTAGGCGATCGATCTGGCGGTATTTTAGTTGGCGCAGGCAAACAGCCAGACAGACGTATGGCTGTGACGCCAAGTAACGTGACCACGCGTTTGCACACAGCATGTTTTCCTGTATTCTCCAAACTAGTTGCACATGGTCATCATTGTATACATTGTTACAAAGGAAAGCCTCCCAACTATCTACTGAAGGACATAACATATCTATCAATAGATAAATAGAGAACCCTCCTTTCCATGCGTAGCGGCTATGTAGCTAGCAGATCCAGCATGTATATTCAGCCTGTACCGTGCGCGTTGGCGCCGACACACGATACTCCAGGCTTTACACCATGTCAGGTGGACGACATACTGGATCAGGGCGTTTGATAGATGCCTCGGGCACACATTCCACAAGCCTATTTGTGCTTCGACCACGAGCGTGCGTGGTCTCCTGCGGTGGGGGCGCGTCCGGGTGATAGTGATAGCGCAGTCGATTCAGGGCGCTTTAGAAGTCATCCAAGATGATAGTGTCGCTCAGGCACTTGAAAACAAACGCCAGCTACAGCAGGGTTAGCATGCTGATCTTCCTCTCGTCAGTGGCGGCCGTTTACCTTCCAGAACGGCTCCATTCCCGGGGGGCAGCCTAGGCGATTCTCGACTCGGGTTGCACACATGTCCACCACCGCAAACACGATGGAAATCACCATGAACATGAGCATGACGCCGAAACGTGGGCTGATGCGGATCAGCTGCACCAGCGAACACCCATAACCCCGCTGGATGATGTATAGGAGAAAGCAGGTAGTGAAGATCCACCAAGGGTCCCTAGATTCAGATCAGCAATGCCGGGCTTGGAAAGAATTGCGCTCGGACACGGCACCGGAACAGCGGCTCGAGTGGCCGAGTGGTGGTATATAAGGCCTGGCCCCGATTGAAAAAGGCAAAATTGGCATAGATCTCGACGACCCAGTACGGCTGGGCCGCCAGCAGGGTGATCAGATAGAGTCGCGTGCCCCAGGGGGTGAAGAAGCCGCGAATCTTCATCCATGCGATCACGTTGTGGAGGGAGTGCGAAATTGTGAGGCCGACAGCCGTAACCGAAAGATACCAGCCCTGGGCAGGCGCATGGAGAAAGATGAACGTTCAGTGCCCGAGGGCCAGGGCGAGCTAAGCGTCTACATCAGCACGGGATAGTGCCCCATTCGCCGCAACGAGGCAGCACAACTTACCTCTGCGACGATGAGTTGTGCAGGAGCACCCCTTTTTTCATGTTGGCCGCGGTGAGGGCAATCATGACAACAAGGGAGCCCACCAAAAATCCTTGTCCCCACGCCTCCACGACAAGGATGTCCGGGTCTGTAGGACGCTGGCCAGCACTTGGCATCATATCATCGCTTTCATCCCACTGTGTCAACGGCGGAATGGAAAAGACACCACATCAGATATGGGGTTTCTTTATATAATCGGGTGGGGTTGCGTAATGCGAGTAATGTTCGCCGCTCGGCATGGTCAACTGCCGTGAGCGAGGGGGAGTAGGAGGGAAGCTGATCGACTGTGACTGTGACCAACAAATGATCGACGGGGGGGGGGGGGGGGGG